CACCTGAGATTTCTGAAGTAGCTTCTTTTTCTTCTTTTGCAGACTGGAATTTTTGTCATCAGTGCATTTGTCGAAAATTTCGGAAAAACTTCGCATGTCTTAAACTATTTTCGTCACATGTTAGGCAATTTTTCCTGGAACTAGTTGAAATATATTTTTCAACAAACAAAATCGTTATATAGTCTTTATTCGTCATTTTAATGACGATTGACTTTCTGATGCTGTCCAGGATTGACTTGGAGACCTTCTGCGTGTTAGGCAGACGTGATAACCGCTACACCACAGCACCTGAGATTCTTAAGTAGCTTTTTAAAATTGTTTTGCATAACTGGAATTTTCGTAATCAGTGCATATTTCAAAAGTTACGAAAGAATTTCGCATGTCTTATAGTAATTCCGTCAAGTGTCAGGCAATTTTTCTGGAGTTAGCTTTACCGTATTTTGCATTGAACAAAATCTTTGTGCAATTCCTTTTTATCAATTCCATGAAACTGGACTTTTTGATGCTGTCCAGGATCGCACTGGAGACCTTCTGCATGTAAGGCAGACGTGATAACCGCTACATCACAGCACCTGAGCTTGCTCAAGTAGCTTTTCTTTCTTGTTTTGCACACCTGGAATTTTTTTCATCAGTGCATTTGTCGAAAATTTCGGAAAAACTTCGCATGTCTTAATTTATTTTCGTCACATGTTAGCCAATTTTTCCTGGGGTTAGTTGAAATAAATTTTTCAACGAACAAAATTATGTACAGTCCTTATTCAACATTTCTATGACAGTTGACTCTCTGATGCTATCCAGGAACGAACTGCAGACCTTCTGCGTTTAAGGCAGACGTGATAAACGCTACACCATAGTTCCTCAGCTTTCTCAAATAGCTTCTTTTTCTTGTTTTGCAGACCTGGAATTTTGTCATCAGTGCATTTTTCGAAAATTACGGAAAATTTTCGCATGTCTTAATTTATTTTCGTCACATGTTAGGCAATTTTTCCTGGAGTTAGTTGAAATATATTTTTCAACGAACAAATTCTTTGTACAGTCATTATTCATCATTTTAATGGTAGTTGACTTTCTGATGCTGTCCAGGATTGAATTGGAGAACATCTGCGTGTTAGGCAGACGTGCTAACAGCTACACCACAGCACCTGAGCTTTCTCAAGTAGCTTCTTTTTCTTGTTTTGCAGACCTGGAGTTTTTGTCATCAGTGCAAATGTCAAAAGTTACGGAAAAATTTCGCATGTCAGGCAATTTTTCTGGAGTCAGTTTCACCGTATTTTCCAATGAACAAATTTTTTGTGCAATCCATATTTATCAGTTCTATGATACTGCACTTTCTGCTGCTGTCCAGGATTGAACTGGAGACCTTCTGGGAGTAAGTCAGACGTGATAACCGCTACACCACAGCCCCTGAGCATTCACAAGTAGCTTCTTTTTCTTCTTTTGCAGACGTGGAATTTCATCAACAGTGCATTTGTCGAAAATTACGGAAAATTTTAGCATGTTTTAATGTATTGTCGTCACGTATCAGGCAATTTTTCCGGAGTTAGTGGAAATATAATTTTCAACGAACAAAATCTTTGTACAGTCCTTATTCATCATTGTTATGATTATTGTCTTTCTGATGCTGTCCAGGATCGAACTGGAGACCTTCTGCGTGTTAGGCAGACGTGATAACCGCTACACCACAGCACCTGAGCTTCTTAAGTAGCTTTTTTTTATTGTTTTGCAGACTGGAATTTTCGTCATCAGTGCATATTTCAAAAGTTACGAAAAAATTTCGCATGTCTTATAGTAATACCGTCAAGTGTCAGGCAATTTTTCTGGAGTTAGCTTTACCGTATTTTGCATTGAACAAAATTTTTGTGCAATTCCATTTATCAATTCCATGAAACTGGACTTTTTGATGCTGTCCAGGATCGCACTGGAGACCTTCTGCGTGAAAGGCAGACGTGATAACCGCTACACCACAGCACCTGAGATTTCTCAATGAGCTTCTTTTTCTTCTTTTGCAGGCCTGGAATTTTTGTCATCAGTGCTGTTGTCGAAAATTTCGGAAAAACGTCGCATGTCTTAAACTATTTTCGTCACATGTTAGGCAATTTTTCCTGGAACTAGTTGAAATATATTTTTCAACGAACAAAATAAAATCGTTGTATAGCCTTTATTCGTCATTTTTATGACGGTTGACTTTCTGATGCTGTCCAGGATTGACTTGGAGACCTTCTGCATATTAGGCAGACGTGATAACCGCTACATCACAGCACCTGAGCTTGCTCAAGTAGTTTTTCTTTCTTTTTTTGCACACCTGGAATTTTTTGTCATCAGTGCATTTGTCGAAAATTACGGAAAATTTTCGCATGTCTTAATTTATTTTCGTCAAATGTTAGGCAATTTTTCCTGGAGTTAGTTGAAATATATTTTTCAACGAACAAATTCTTTGTACAGTCATTATTCATCATTTTAATGGTAGTTGACTTTCTGATGCTGTCCAGGATTGAATTGGAGAACATCTGCGTGTTAGGCAGACGTGCTAACAGCTACACCACAGCACCTGAGCTTTCTCAAGTAGCTTCTTTTTCTTGTTTTGCAGACCTGGAGTTTTTGTCATCAGTGTAAATGTCAAAAGTTACGGAAAAATTTCACATGTCAGGCAATTTTTCTGGAGTCAGTTTCGCCGTATTTTCCAATGAACAAATTTTTTGTGCAATCCATATTTATCAATTCTATGATACTGCACTTTCTGCTGCTGTCCAGGATCGAACTGGAGACCTTCTGGGAGTAAGTCAGACATGATAACCGCTACACCACAGCCCCTGAGCTTTCACAAGTAGCTTCTTTTTCTTCTTTTGCAGACGTGGAATTTCATCAACAGTGCATTTGTCGAAAATTACGGAAAATTTTAGCATGTTTTAATGTATTGTCGTCACGTATCAGGCAATTTTTCCGGAGTTAGTGGAAATATAATTTTCAACGAACAAAATCTTTGTACAGTCCTTATTCATCATTGTTATGATTATTTTCTTTCTGATGCTGTCCAGGATCGAACTGGAGACCTTCTGCGTGTTAGGCAGACGTGATAACCGCTACACCACAGCACCTGAGCTTCTTAAGTAGCTTTTTTTTATTGTTTTGCAGACTGGAATTTTCGTCATCAGTGCATATTTCAAAAGTTACGAAAAAATTTCGCATGTCTTATATTAATCCCGTCAAGTGTCAGGCAATTTTTCTGGAGTTAGCTTTACCGTATTTTGCATTGAACAAAGTTTTTGTGCAATTCCATTTATCAATTCCATGAAACTGGACTTTTTGATGCTGTCCAGGATCGCACTGGCGACCTTCTGCGTGTAAGGCAGACGTGATAACCGCTACACCACAGCACCTGAGATTTCTCAATGAGCTTCTTTTTCTTCTTTTGCAGACCTGGAATTTTTGTCATCAGTGCTGTTGTCGAAAATTTCGGAAAAACGTCGCATGTCTTAAACTATTTTCGTCACATGTTAGGCAATTTTTCCTGGAAATAGTTGAAATATATTTTTCAACGAACAAAATAAAATCGTTTCTATAGCCTTTATTCGTCATTTTTATGACGGTTGACTTTCTAATGCTGTCCAGGATTGACTTGGAGACCTTCTGCATATTAGGCAGACGTGATAACCGCTACATCACAGCACCTGAGCTTGCTCAAGTAACTTTTCTTTCTTGTTTTGCACACCTGGAATTTTTGTCATCAGTGCATTTGTCGAAAATTTCGGAAAAACTTCGCATGTCCTAATTTATTTTCGTCACATGTTAGCCAATTTTTCCTGGAGTTAGTTGAAATAAATTTTTCAACGAACAAAATTTTGTATAGTCCTTAATCAACGTTTTTATGACAGTTGACTTTCTGATGCTATCCAGGATCGAACTAGAGACCTTCTGCGTGTAAGGCAGACGTGATAACCGCTACACCACAGTTCCTCAGCTTTCTCAAGTAGCTTCTTTTTCTTGTTTTTCAGACCTGGAATTTTGTCATCATTGTATTTATAGAAAATTACGGAAAATTTTTGCATGTCTTAATGTATTGTCGTCACGTATCAGGCAATTTTTCCTGAGTTAGTGGAAACATATTTTTCACCGAACAAAATCTTTGTACAGTCCTTATTCATCATTATTATGATAATTGTCTTTCTGATGCTGTCCAGGATCGAACTGGAGACCTTCTGCGTGTAAGGCAGACGTGATAACCGCTACACAACAGCACCTGAGCTTTCTGAAGTAGCTTCTTTTTCTTGTTTTGCAGACCTGGAATTTTTGTCATCAGTGCATTTGTCGAAAATTTCGGAAAAACTTCGCATGTCTTAATTTATTTTCGTCACATGTCAGGCAGTTTTTCTGGAGTTAGTTGAAATTTATTTTTCAACGAACAAAATCATTGTACAGTCCTTATTCGTCATTTTTATGACGATTGACTTTCTGATGCTGTCCAGGGTTGACTTGGAGACCTTCTGCATGTTCGGCAGACGTGATAACCGCTACATCACCGCATCTGAGCTTACTCAAGTAGCTTCTTTTTCTTGTTTTGCATGAAGACCTGGAATTTTTGTCATCAGTGCAAATGTCAAAAATTACGGAAAAATTTTGCATGTCAGGCAATTTTTCTGGAGTCAGTTTCACCGTATTTTCCAATGAACAAAATCTTTGTGCAATCCATATTTATCAATTCTATGATACTGCACTTTCTGCTGCTGTCCAGGATCGAACTGGAGACCTTCTGCGTGTAAGTCAGACGTGATAACTGCTACACCACAGCTCCTGAGCTTTCAGAAGTAGCTTCTTTTTCTTGTTTTGCAGACCTGGAATTTTGTCATCATTGTATTTATAGAAAATTACGGAAAATTTTTGCATGTCTTAATGTATTGTCGTCACGTATAAGGCAATTTTTCCTGAGTTAGTGGAAATATATTTGTCACCGAACAAAATCTTTGTACAGTCCTTATTCGTCATTATTATGATAATTGTCTTTCTGATGCTGTCCAGGATCGAACTGAAGACCTTTTGCGTGCAAGGCAAACGTGATAACCGCTACACAACAGCACCTGAGCTTTCTGAAGTAGCTTCTTTTTCTTGTTTTGCAAACCTGGAATTTTTGTCATCAGTGCATTTGTCGAAAATTTCGGAAAAACTTCGCATGTCTTAATTTATTTTCGTCACATGTCAGGCAGTTTTTCTGGAGTTAGTTGAAATATATTTTTCAACGAACAAAATCATTGTACAGTCCTTATTCGTCATTTTTATGACGATTGACTTTCTGATGCTGTCCAGGGTTGACTTGGAGACCTTCTGCATGTTCGGCAGACGTGATAACCGCTACATCACAGCATCTGAGCTTACTCAAGTAGCTTCTTTTTCTTGTTTTGCATGAAGACCTGGAATTTTTGTCATCAGTGCAAATGTCAAAAATTACGGAAAAATTTTGCATGTCAGGCAGTTTTTCTGGAGTCAGTTTCACCGTATTTTCCAATGAACAAAATCTTTGTGCAATCCATATTTATTAATTCTATGATACTGCACTTTCTGATGCTGTCCAGGATCGAACTGGAGACCTTCTGCGTGTAAGTGAGACGTGATAACTGCTACACCACAGCTCCTGAGCTTTCAGAAGTAGCTTCTTTTTCTTGTTTTGCAGACCTGGAATTTTATCAACAGTGCATTTGTCGAAAATTACGGAAAATTTTAGCATGTCTTAATGTATTGTCGTCACGTATCAGGAAATTTTTCCGGAGTTAGTGGAAATATAATTTTCAACGAACAAAATGTTTGTACAGTCCTTATTCATCATTGTTCTGATATTTGTCTTTCTGATGCTGTCCAGGATCGAACTGGAGACCTTCTGCCTGTTAGGCAGACGTGATTACCGCTACACCACAGCACCTGAGCTTTCTGAAGTAGCTTCTTTTTCTTGTTTTGCAAACCTGGAATTTTTGTCATCAGTGCATTTGTCGAAAATTTCGGAAAAACTTCGCATGTCTTAATTTATTTTCGTCAAATGTTAGGCAATTTTTCCTGGAGTTAGTTGAAATATATTTTTCAACGAACAAATTTCTTGTACAGTCATTATTCGTCATTTTAATGGTAGTTGACTTTCTAATGCTGTCCAGGATCGAACTGGAGACCTTCTGCGTGTTAGGCAGACGTGATTACCGCTACACCACAGCACCTGAGCTTCTTAAGTTGCTTTTTTTTTAATTGTTTTGCAGACCTGGAATTTTCGTCATCAGTGCATATTTCAAAAGTTACGAAAAAATTTCGCATGTCTTATAGTAATTCCGTAAAGTGTCAGGCAATTTTACTGGAGTTAGTTTTATCGTATTTTGCAATGAACGAAATCTTTGTGCAATTCATATTTATCATTTCTATGATACTGGACTTTCTGATGCTGTCTAGGATCGAATTGGAGACCTTCTGCGTGTAAGGCAAACGTGATAACCGCTACACCACAGCACCTGAGCTTTCTGAAGTAGCTTCTTTTTCTTGATTTGCAGACCTGGAAATTTTGTCATCAGTGCATTTTTCGAAAATTACGGAAAATTTTCGCATGTCTTAATTTATTTTCGTCAAATGTTAGGCAATTTTTCCTGGAGTTAGTTGAAATATATTTTTCAACGAACAAATTTCTTGTACAGTCATTATTCGTCATTTTAATGGTAGTTGACTTTCTAATGCTGTCCAGGATTGACTTGGAGAACATCTGCATGTTAGGCAGACGTGCTAACTGCTACACCACAGCACCTGAGCTTTCCCAAGTAGCTTCTTTTTCTTGTTTTGCAGACCTGGAGTTTTTGTCATCAGTGCAAATGTCAAAAATTACGGAAAAATTTTGCATGTCAGGCAATTTTTCTGGAGTCAGTTCACCGTATTTTCCAATGAACAAAATTTTTGTGCAATCCATATTTATCAATTCTATGATACTGCACTTTCTGATGCTGTCCAGGATCGAACTGGAGACCTTCTGCGTGTACGTCAGACGTGATAACTGCTACACCACAGCTCCTGAGCTTTCAGAAGTAGCTTCTTTTTCTTGTTTTGCAGACCTGGAATTTTATCAACAGTGCATTTGTCGAAAATTACGGAAAATTTTAGCATGTCTTAATGTATTGTCGTCACGTATCAGGCATTTTTTCCGTAGTTAGTGGAAATATAATTTTCAACGAACAAATTGTTTGTACAGTCCTTATTCATCCTTGTTCTGATATTTGTCTTTCTGATGCTGTCCAGGATCGAACTGGAGACCTTCTGCGTGTTAGGCAGACGTGATTACCGCTACACCACAGCACCTGAGCTTCTTAAGTTGTTTTTTTTTATTGTTTTGCAGACCTGGAATTTTCGTCATCAGTGCATATTTCAAAAGTTACGAAAAAATTTCGCATGTCTTATAGTAATTCCGTAAAGTGTCAGGCAATTTTACTGGAGTTAGTTTTACCGTATTTTGCAATGAACGAAATCTTTGTGCAATTCTTATTTATCATTTCTATGAAACTGGACTTTCTGATGCTGTCTAGGAGCGAACTGGAGACCTTCTGCGTGTAAGGCAGACGTGATAACCGCTACACCACAGCACCTGAGCTTTCTGAAGTAGCTTCTTTTTCTTGATTTGCAGACCTGGAAATTTTGTCATCAGTGCGTTTTTCGAAAATTACGGAAATTTTTCGCATGTCTTAATTTATTTTCGTCACATTGTAGGCAATTTTTCCTGGAGTTAGTTGAAATATATTTTTCAACGAACAAATTCTTTGTACAGTCATTATTCGTCATTTTAATGGTAGTTGACTTTCTAATGCTGTCCAGGATTGACTTGGAGAACATCTGCATGTTAGGCAGACGTGCTAACCGCTACACCACAGCACCTGAGTTTTCCCAAGTAGCTTCTTTTTCTTGTTTTGCAGACCTGGAGTTTTTGTCATCAGTGCAAATGTCAAAAATTACGGAAAAATTTTGCATGTCAGGCAATTTTTCTGGAGTCAGTTTCACCGTATTTTCCAATGAACAAAATTTTTGTGCAATCTATATTTATCAATTCTATGATACTGCACTTTCTGATGCTGTCCAGGATCGAACTGGAGACCTTCTGCGTGTAAGTCAGACGTGATAACTGCTACACCACAGCTCCTGAGCTTTCAGAAGTAGCTTCTTTTTCTTGTTTTGCAGACCTGGAATTTTATCAACAGTGCATTTGTCGAAAATTACGGAAAATTTTAGCATGTCTTAATGTATTGTCGTCACGTATCAGGCAATTTTTCCGGAGTACGTGGAAATATAATTTTCAACGAACAAAATGTTTGTACAGTCCTTATTCATCATTGTTCTGATATTTGTCTTTCTGATGCTGTCCAGGATCGAACTGGAGACCTTCTGCCTGTTAGGCAGACGTGATTACCGCTACACCACAGCACCTGAGCTTCTTAAGTTGCTTTTTTTTTTATTGTTTTGCAGACCTGGAATTTTCGTCATCAGTGCATACTTCAAAATTTACGAAAAAATTTCGCATGTCTTATAGTAATTCCGTAAAGTGTCAGGCAATTTTACTGGAGTTAGCTTTACCGTATTTTGCATTGAACAAAATTTTTGTGCAATTCCTATTTATCAATTCCATGAAACTGGACTTTTTGATGCTGTCCAGGATCGCTCTGAAGACCTTCTGCGTGTAAGGCAGACGTGATAACCGCTACATCACAGCACCTGAGCTTGCTCAAGTAGCTTTTCTTTCTTGTTTTGCACACCTGGAATTTTTGTCATCAGTGCATTTGTCGAAAATTTCGGAAAAACTTCGCATGTCTTAATTTATTTTCGTCACATGTTAGCCAATTTTTCCTGGAGTTAATTGAAATAAATTTTTCAACGAACAAAATTTTGTACAGTCCTTATTCAAAGTTCTTATGACAGTTGACTTTCTGATGCTATCTAGGATCGAACTGGAGACCTTCTGCGTGTAAGGCAGACGTGATAACCGCTACACCACAGCACCTGAGCTTCTTAAGTTGCTTTTTTTTTATTGTTTTGCAGACCTGGAAATTTTGTCATCAGTGCATTTTTCGAAAATTACGGAAAATTTTCGCATGTCTTAATTTATTTTCGTCAAATGTTAGGCAATTTTCCCTGGAGTTAGTTGAAATATATTTTTCAACGAACAAATTTCTTGTACAGTCATTATTCGTCATTATTATGATAATTGTCTTTCTGATGCTGTCCAGGATCGAACTGGAGACCTTCTGCGTGTAAGGCAGACGTGATAACCGCTACACCACAGTTCCTCAGCTTTCTAAAGTAGCTTCTTTTTCTTGTTTTGCAGACCTGGAATTTTTGTCATCAGAAGATTTGTCGAAAATTTCGGAAAAACTTCGCATGTCTTAATTTATTTTCGTCACATGTTAGGCAATTTTTTCTGGAGTTAAGGAAAAATATTTTTCAACGAACAAAATCTTTGTACATTCCTTATTCATCATTATTATGATAATTGTCTTTCTGATGCTATCCAAGATCGAACGTGAGACCTTCTGCGTGTTAGGCAGACGTGATAACCGCTACACCACAGCACCTGAGCTTCTTAAGTAGCTTCTTTTTCTTGTTTTGCACACCGGGAATTTTCGTCATCAGTGCATTTATCGAATGTCTTATTGTAATTTCGTCTCTTGTCAGGCAAAGTTCTGGAGTTAGTTTTACCGTATTTTGCAATGAACGAAATCTTTGTGCAATTCCTATTTATCATTTCTATGAAACTGGACTTTCAGATGCTGTCTAGGATCGAACTGGAGACCTTCTGCGTGTAAGGCAGACGTGATAACCGCTACATCACAGCACCTGAGCTTTCTGAAGTAGCTTCTTTTTCTTGTTTTGCAGACCTGGAGTTTTTGTCATCAGTGCATTTGTCGAAAATTTCGGAAAAACTTCGCATGTCTTAATTTGTTTTCGTCACATGTTAAGCAATTTTTTCCTGGAGTTAATGAAAAATATTTTTCAACGAACAAAATCTTTGTACAGTCCTTATTCATCATTATTATGATAATTATCTTTCTGATGCTGTCCAGGATCGAACTGGAGACCTTCTGCGTGTTAAGCAGACGTGATAACCGCTACACCACAGCACCTGAGCTTTTTAAGTAGCTTCTTTTTCTTGTTTTGCACACCTGGAATTTTCGTCATCAGTGCATTTATCAAAAATTTCGGAAAAACTTCGCATGTCTTATTGTAATTTCGTCACTTGTCAGGCAAAGTTCTGGAGTTAGTTTTACCGTATTTTGCAATGAACGAAATCTTTGTGCAATTCCTATTTATCATTTCTATGAAACTGGACTTTCAGATGCTGTCTAGGATCGAACTGGAGACCTTCTGCGTGTAAGGCAGACGTGATAACCGCTACATCACAGCACCTGAGCTTTCTGAAGTAGCTTCTTTTTCTTGTTTTGCAGACCTGGAGTTTTTGTCATCAGTGCATTTGTCGAAAATTTCGGAAAAACTTCGCATGTCTTAATTTGTTTTCGTCACATGTTAAGCAATTTTTTCCTGGAGTTAATGAAAAATATTTTTCAACGAACAAAATCTTTGTACAGTCCTTATTCATCATTATTATGATAATTATCTTTCTGATGCTGTCCAGGATCGAACTGGAGACCTTCTGCGTGTTAAGCAGACGTGATAACCGCTACACCACAGCACCTGAGCTTTTTAAGTAGCTTCTTTTTCTTGTTTTGCACACCTGGAATTTTCGTCATCAGTGCATTTATCAAAAATTTCGGAAAAACTTCGCATGTCTTATTGTAATTTCGTCACTTGTCAGGCAAAGTTCTGGAGTTAGTTTTACCGCATTTTGCAATGAACGAAATCTTTGTGCAATTCCTATTTATCATTTCTATAAAACTGGACTTTTTGATGCTGTCTAGGATCGAACTGGAGACCTTCTGCGTGTAAGGCAGACGTAATAACCGCTACACCACATCACCTGAGCTTTCTGAAGTAGCTTCTTTTTCTTGTTTTGCAGACCTGGAATTTTTGTCATCAGTGAATTTATCGGAAATAACGAAAAATTTTCGCAAGTCTTGATGAATTTTTGTCACGTGTCAGGCAGTTTTTCTGGAGTTAGTTGAAATATATTTTTCAACGAACAAAATCATTGTACAGTCCTTATTAGTCATTTTTATGACGATTGACTTCCTGATGCTGTCCAGGGTTGACTTGGAGACCTTCTGCATGTTAGGCAGACGTGATAACCGCTACATCACAGCATCTGAGCTTACTCAAGTAGCTTCTTTTTCTTGTTTTGCATGAAGACCTGGAATTTTTGTCATCAGTGCATTTTTCGAAAATTACGGAAAATTTTCGCATGTCTTAATTTATTTTCGTCACATGTTAGGCAATTTTTCCTGGAGTTAATTGAAATATAATTTTCAACGAACAAAATTTTTGAACAGTCGTTATTCATCAATAGGATCGATTTGGAGACCTTCTGCGTGTGAGGCAGACTTGAGAACAGCTACACCACAGCACCTCAGCTTTCTCAAGTAGCTTCTTTTTCTTGTTTTGCAGACCTGGATTTTTTGTCATCAGTGCATTTGACAAAAGTTACGGAAAAATTTCGCATGTCTTATTGTTATTTCGTCACGTGTCAGGCAATTTTTCTGGAGTTAGTTTTACCCTATTTTGCAATGAACAAAATCTTTGTGCAATTCCTGTTTATCAATTCTATGAATTTGGACTTTCTGATGCTGTCCAGGATCGAACTGAAGACCTTCTACATGTAAGGCAGACGTGATAACCGCTACACCACAGCACCTGAGTTTGCGCAAGTAGCTTCTTTTTCTTGTTTTGCTCACCTGGAATTTTCTTCATCAATGCATTTGTCGAAAATTTCGGAAAAACTTCGCATGTCTTAATTTATTTTCGTCACATGTTAGGCAATTTTTCCTGGAGTTAATGAAAAATATTTTTCAACGAACAAATTCTTTGTACAAATATTATTCATCATTTTTATGTTAGTTGACTTTCTGATGCTGTCCAGGACTGAATTGGAAACCTTCTGCGTGTTAGGCAGACGTGATAACCGCTACACCACAGCTCCTGAGCTTTCACAAGTAGCTTCTTTTTCTTGTTTTGCAGACCTGGATTTTTATCAACAGTGCATTTGTCGAAAATTACGGAAAATTTTCGCATGTCTTAATTTATTTTCGTCACATGTTAGGCAATTTTTCCTGGAGTTAGTTGAAATATATTTTTCAACGAACAAATTTCTTGTACAGTCATTATTCGTCATTTTAATGGTAGTTGACTTTCTAATGCTGTCCAGGATTGACTTGGAGAACATCTGCATGTTAGGCAGACTTGAGAACAGCTACACCACAGCACCTCAGCTTTCTCAAGTAGCTTCTTTTTCTTGTTTTGCAGACCTGGATTTTTTGTCATCAGTGCATTTGTCAAAAGTTCCGGAAAAATTTCGCATGTCTTGTTGTTATTTCGTCACGTGTCAGGCAATTTTTCTGGAGTTAGTTTTACCCTATTTTGCAATGGACAAAATCTTTGTGCAATTCCTGTTTATCAATTCTATGAATTTGGACTTTCTGATGCTGTCCAGGATCGAACTGAAGACCTTCTACGTGTATGGCAGACGTGATAACCGCTACTCCACAGCACCTGAGCTTGCGCAAGTAGCTTCTTTTTCTTGCTTTGCAGACCTGGAAATTTTTTCATCAGTGCATTTGTCGAAAATTACGGAAAAACTTCGCATGTCTTAATTTATTTTCGTCACGTGTCAGGCAATTTTTCTGGAGTAAGTTTAAACGTTATTTCCAATGAACAAAATCTTTGTGCAATCCATATTTATCAATTTTTTGGAACTGGACTTTCTGATGCTGTCCAGGATCGAACTGAAGGCATTTTGTGTGTAAGGCAGACGTGACAACCGCTACACCACAGCACCTGAGCTTTCGCAAGTAGCTTCTTTTTCTTGTTTTGCAGACCTGGAATTTTTGTTATCAGTGCATTTGTCGAAGATTACGGAAAAACTTGCATTTCTTAATGAATTTTCGTCACGTGTCAGGCAATTTTTCTGGAGTTATTTGAAATGTAGTTTCCAGCTAACAAAATTTTTGTACAATCCTCATTTTCCATTTTCATAAGAATTGATTTCCTGATATTGTTCAGGATCGAACTGGAGGCCTTCTGCTTGTTAGGCAGACGTGATAACCGCTACACCACAGCACCTGAGCTTTGTCAAGGAGCTTCTTTTTCTTGTTTTGCGCACCAGGAATTTTTGTCCTTAGTGCATTTGTCAAAAGTTTCGGGAAAATTTCGCATGCCTTAATCTATTTTCGTCACATGTCAGACAATTTTTCTGGAGTTAGTTTAAACGTTATTTCCAATGAACAGAATCTTTGTGCAATCCATCTTTATGAATTCTTTGGAACTGGATTTTCTGATGCTGTCCAGGATCGAACTGAAGTCATTTTGTGTGTAAGGCAGACGTGATAACCGCTACACCACAGCAGCACCTGAGCTTTCTCAAGTAATAATTTTTTTCTTGTTTTGCAGACCTGGATTTTTTGTCATCAGTGCATTTGTCAAAAGTTTTGGGAAAATTTCGCATGCCTTAATCTATTTTCGTCACATGTCAGACAATTTTTCTGGAGTTAGTTTAAACGTTATTTCCAAAGAACAGAATCTTTGTGCAATCCATATTTATCAATTCTTTGGAACTGGACTTTCTGATGCTGTCCAGGATCGAACTGAAGTCATTTTGTGTGTAAGGCAGACGTGACAACCGCTACACCACAGCACCTGAGCTTTCGCAAGTAGCTTCTTTTTCTTGTTTTGCAGACCTGGAATTTTTGTTATCAGTGCATTTGTCGAAGATTACGGAAAAACTTGCATTTCTTAAAGAATTTTCGTCACGTGTCAGGCAATTTTTCTGGAGTTATATGAAATGTAGTTTCCAGCTAACAAAAATTTTGTACAATCCTCATTTTCCATTTTCATAAGAATTGATTTCCTGATATTGTTCAGGATCGAACTGGAGGCCTTCTGCTTGTTAGGCAGACGTGATAACCGCTACACCACAGCACCTAAGCTTTGACAAGGAGCTTCTTTTTCTTGTTTTGCGCACCAGGAATTTTTGTCCTTAGTGCATTTGTCAAAATTTCGGGAAAATTTTGCATGCCTTAATCTATTTTCGTCACATGTCAGACAATTTTTCTGGAGTTAGTTTAAACGTTATTTCCAATGAACAGAGTCTTTGTGCACTCCATATTTATCAATTCTTTGGAACTGGACTTTCTGATGCTGTCCAGGATCGAACTGAAGTCATTTTGTGTGTAAGGCAGACGTGATAACCGCTACACCACAGCAGCACCTGAGCTTTCTCTAATAATAATTTTTTTCTTGTTTTGCAGACCTGGATTTTTTGTCATCAGTGCATTTGTCAAAAGTTTTGGGAAAATTTCGCATGCCTTAAACTATTTTCGTCACATGTCAGACAATTTTTCTGGAGTTAGTTTAAACGTTATTTCCAAAGAACAGAATCTTTGTGCAATCCATATTTATCAATTCTTTGGAACTTGACTTTCTGATGCTGTCCAGGATCGAACTGAAGTCATTTTGTGTGTAAGGCAGACGTGACAACCGCTACACCACAGCACCTGAGCTTTCGCAAGTAGCTTCTTTTTCTTGTTTTGCAGACCTGGAATTTTTGTTATCAGTGAATTTGTCGAAGATTACGGAAAAACTTGCATTTCTTATTGAATTTTCGTCACGTGTCAGGCAATTTTTCGAGTTATTTGAAATTTAGTTTCCAGCTCACAAAATTTTTGTACAATCCTCATTTTCCATTTTCATAAGAATTGATTTCCTGATATTGTTCCGGATCGAACTGGAGGCCTTCTGCTTGTTAGGCAGACGTGATAACCGCTACACCACAGCACCTGAGCTTTGTCAAGTAGCTTCTTTTTCTTGTTTTGCGCACCAGGAATTTTTGTCCTTAGTGCATTTGTCAAAAGTTTTGGAAATATTTCGCATGCCTTAATCTATTTTCGTCACATGTCAGACAATTTTTCTGGAGTTAGTTTTACCCTATTTTGCAATGAACAAAATCTTTGTGCAATTCCTGTTTATCAATTCTATGAATTTGGACTTTCTGATGCTGTCCAGGATCGAACTGAAGACCTTCTACATGTAAGGCAGACGTGATAACCGCTACACCACAGCACCTGAGTTTGCGCAAGTAGCTTCTTTTTCTTGTTTTGCTCACCTGGAATTTTCTTCATCAATGCATTTGTCGAAAATTTCGGAAAAACTTCGCATGTCTTAATTTATTTTCGTCACATGTTAGGCAATTTTTCCTGGAGTTAATAAAAAATATTTTTCAACGAACAAATTCTTTGTACAAATATTATTCATCATTTTTATGTTAGTTGACTTTCTGATGCTGTCCAGGACTGAATTGGAAACCTTCTGCGTGTTAGGCAGACGTGATAACCGCTACACCACAGCTCCTGAGCTTTCACAAGTAGCTTCTTTTTCTTGTTTTGCAGACCTGGATTTTTATCAACAGTGCATTTGTCGAAAATTACGGAAAATTTTCGCATGTCTTAATTTATTTTCGTCACATGTTAGGCAATTTTTCCTGGAGTTAGTTGAAATATATTTTTCAACGAACAAATTTCTTGTACAGTCATTATTCGTCATTTTAATGGTAGTTGACTTTCTAATGCTGTCCAGGATTGACTTGGAGAACATCTGCATGTTAGGCAGACTTGAGAACAGCTACACCACAGCACCTCAGCTTTCTCAAGTAGCTTCTTTTTCTTGTTTTGCAGACCTGGATTTTTTGTCATCAGTGCATTTGTGAAAAGTTCCGGAAAAATTTCGCATGTCTTGTTGTTATTTCGTCACGTGTCAGGCAATTTTTCTGGAGTTAGTTTTACCCTATTTTGCAATGGACAAAATCTTTGTGCAATTCCTGTTTATCAATTCTATGAATTTGGACTTTCTGATGCTGTCCAGGATCGAACTGAAGACCTTCTACATGTAAGGCAGACGTGATAACCGCTACACCACAGCACCTGAGTTTGCGCAAGTAGCTTCTTTTTCTTGTTTTGCTCACCTGGAATTTTCTTCATCAATGCATTTTGTCGAAAATTTCGGAAAAACTTCGCATGTCTTAATTTATTTTCGTCACGTGTCAGGCAATTTTTCTGGAGTAAGTTTAAACGTTATTTCCAATGAACAAAATCTTTGTGCAATCCATATTTATCAATTTTTTGGAACTGGACTTTCTGATGCTGTCCAGGATCGAACTGAAGGCATTTTGTGTGTAAGGCAGACGTGACAACCGCTACACCACAGCACCTGAGCTTTCGCAAGTAGCTTCTTTTTCTTGTTTTGCAGACCTGGAATTTTTGTTATCAGTGCATTTGTCGAAGATTACGGAAAAACTTGCATTTCTTAATGAATTTTCGTCACGTGTCAGGCAATTTTTCTGGAGTTATTTGAAATGTAGTTTCCAGCTAACAAAATTTTTGTACAATCCTCATTTTCCATTTTCATAAGAATTGATTTCCTGATATTGTTCAGGATCGAACTGGAGGCCTTCTGCTTGTTAGGCAGACGTGATAACCGCTACACCACAGCACCTGAGCTTTGTCAAGGAGCTTCTTTTTCTTGTTTTGCGCACCAGGAATTTTTGTCCTTAGTGCATTTGTCAAAAGTTTCGGGAAAATTTCGCATGCCTTAATCTATTTTCGTCACATGTCAGACAATTTTTCTGGAGTTAGTTTAAACGTTATTTCCAAAGAACAGAATCTTTGTGCAATCCATATTTATCAATTCTTTGGAACTGGACTTTCTGATGCTGTCCAGGATCGAACTGAAGTCATTTTGTGTGTAAGGCAGACGTGACAACCGCTACACCACAGCACCTGAGCTTTCGCAAGTAGCTTCTTTTTCTTGTTTTGCAGACCTGGAATTTTTGTTATCAGTGCATTTGTCGAAGATTACGGAAAAACTTGCATTTCTTAAAGAATTTTCGTCACGTGTCAGGCAATTTTTCTGGAGTTATATGAAATGTAGTTTCCAGCTAACAAAATTTTTGTACAATCCTCATTTTCCATTTTCATAAGAATTGATTTCCTGATATTGTTCAGGATCGAACTGGAGGCCTTCTGCTTGTTAGGCAGACGTGATAACCGCTACACCACAGCACCTAAGCTTTGTCAAGGAGCTTCTTTTTCTTGTTTTGCGCACCAGGAATTTTTGTCCTTAGTGCATTTGTCAAAATTTCGGGAAAATTTTGCATGCCTTAATCTATTTTCGTCACATGTCAGACAATTTTTCTGGAGTTAGTTTAAACGTTATTTCCAATGAACAGAGTCTTTGTGCACTCCATATTTATCAATTCTTTGGAACTGGACTTTCTGATGCTGTCCAGGATCGAACTGAAGTCATTTTGTGTGTAAGGCAGACGTGATAACCGCTACACCACAGCAGCACCTGAGCTTTCTCAAATAATAATTTTTTTCTTGTTTTGCAGACCTGGATTTTTTGTCATCAGTGCATTTGTCAAAAATTTTGGGAAAATTTCGCATGCCTTAAACTATTTTCGTCACATGTCAGACAATTTTTCTGGAGTTAGTTTAAACGTTATTTCCAAAGAACAGAATCTTTGTGCAATCCATATTTATCAATTCTTTGGAACTTGACTTTCTGATGCTGTCCAGGATCGAACTGAAGTCATTTTGTGTGTAAGGCAGACGTGACAACCGCTACACCACAGCACCTGAGCTTTCGCAAGTAGCTTCTTTTTCTTGTTTTGCAGACCTGGAATTTTTGTTATCAGTGCATTTGTCGAAGATTACGGAAAAACTTGCATTTCTTATTGAATTTTCGTCAGGTGTCAGGCAATTTTTCGAGTTATTTGAAATTTAGTTTCCAGCTCACAAAATTTTTGTACAATCCTCATTTTCCATTTTCATAAGAATTGATTTCCTGATATTGTTCCGGATCGAACTGGAGGCCTTCTGCTTGTTAGGCAGACGTGATAACCGCTACACCACAGCACCTGAGCTTTGTCAAGTAGCTTCTTTTTCTTGTTTTGCGCACCAGGAATTTTTGTCCTTAGTGCATTTGTCAAAAGTTTTGGAAATATTTCGCATGCCTTAATCTATTTTCGTCACATGTCAGACAATTTTTCTGGAGTTCGTTTAAACGTTATT